CATGCAAAAAATTTGAACATTCAATAATTGAATTGTATAATAATAGGCATATTAAAAATGATAATGACACTATTTTGAATGAATCTGATTGACTTTTAACTTTTAAAATTAAATTTGTTTTAACAAGTCTTTATGACTCTACAAATATTTTATCTAGAGTGTACTATATCACTAGTTGTATGGTGCTTGAACGTCTTTATATAATTGTAAGGATTTTTTATAAATACAAAAATGATCCCAATTTTAGTGACGTTATATATTCTATGGAATTAAAATTTAGACAATATTGAAAAGATTTGCTTATGTTATTTCCTTTTGTATACATCATGGACCCCCGATTCAATTTACCAAGTACTAAATATGTAATTGATCAGATTTCAAAAGTTTTAATTTTTAATACACCTATCACTTATAGAAATTTTGAACAAACTTTATGTGAAATATATAAATTATATGTAGAACTAATGAGTGCAAATATTAGTCGAGCACCCTCTGCACCTACTCTCCCGCTAATGTCGAAGAAAATGAAACTGAAATATTAAATTTATTTGAAGGTATTAATACGTATAGATATGATGCAATAAGTTCTTCTAGTAGTAGTATATCTATCGTATGTAATCAGATATCAGACGCGAGTCCAAATGCATTATCTGCCGAATTACTTGATTACTTTAATCATAATATGCTTAGTAACAAATCAATTAAAAAGAGTCCAGAAAAGGTAATTGGCTTCTAACGAAAGTACGAACGACGATAGCTAGTGATTTCTATTATTGCAAAAGATCTACTAATACCTCCAGTTAGTATTATAGTTTCAGAGTTTGCTTTTAGTGCAAGTAAGATGACTCTGTCAGATGTCAGAAGCCTTACTAAAAAAAGATATTTTGGAAATATTAATGTGCGTGAAAGATTGACAAGACGCTAATTTTCGACTTTAAGATAAATATACCGAAATTGCATGTCGTCAGGTAAATGATATTTAATTTAACCACATTAATAAAATTTGTTATTTTATAATACTGTTTAAAAAAAAAAAATTAATTGTACACGTAACAAGTTGTTCATATACAATTTTAACTCCGACTATTCGAAATTTAAGTAACTGATCCCAAATCCAGATGAATGAGGATGGTTTTATCTAAAAAAAAATAAAAAAAAATAGAGGAGCTCACAGGCGTGGCTCGTGGGCCGAGCATGAGCTGAGTTCATGGGCAATAAGGTCGAGCCGGCTGCCAACTCATTGCCACGACTGCTGTGAATGAAATTTACCATTCATTCTCATTAGCAATTTCACCTCTTTACGGTGGGTTTGGCACAAGGCAATCAAGAGCGAAGAAGAGATTATTGGTAAATTCTTCAAGTTCTACTAATAATAGTTAATTATGCAAGTAAATGTTACATTCGCCATTTTACATTTTATCTATCGTAAACAAATTTTACCCAAAATTTTCCTACTTACAATGTTAAAAATATGATGTAAATATCAAATTGGATCCATTAGTCATCTAAGCTAAAAAAAAATTGAAAAATATTACATTAGTCTCATTGTTTATTCATGACATTAGAGGTGTCAAGCAGGTCTAACAAGGCATCCATAGGACCGGCCCATTAAAAATGACACGTGAATCGATGAGGAAATTACACTGACCAGGTGTTTAGTTTTAACTTTCTAAAAATCAGGTTTTAGCTTTTTTTTAATCAAAAATCAGGTATTAATTTTACAATTAATATTAATAATAATATTTTAAAATTATATTACTCTATATACCTACCCCTACCCCCACCAAATTTCATAACCCTAGATAATCAATTCTCTCCACTCTCTCACTTCTCTCCAGCACTACCGACCACCGCCTCCCTCCCTTCTTCTCCCCCTTCCCTCTCCCTCCCTTGGCCTCGACGCTGCTGCTGTGGGTGTGCAGCGTCGTGACGACACCCACAGCAGCGTCGCGCGACGCTGCTGCGACGCCTACAGCAGCGCGAGCGACGCTGCTGTGATCGCGATCGACCTCTTTCTGTGTTTTGGGGGGGGGCTGTGGGTGTGTGTTTCCCCCTTTCTCCCTCCATCCACAACAGCCCCTTCTCCCCCTTCCCCCCCTTTCTCCCCCTCTACTGCTGCCGTTCAATAGCTTCACAGCGACTAAGGCGGAGGCGTTGAAGTAGGTCAAGACCCACACATCTGTGTTTGTTGGAACGTCAACATTTTCCCAACTTAATGTTGTTTGATGTTTGCCGCATCAACATCACAACTGGAAGGTAGAGTCGAAGTGTTTCGTTTAGTATGCAGGCTATCTGTTCGACGAAATGCAAAGTTCAGTGGAAGAGGTGTAAAAGTAAAAAGGTTCCATCATTTTCTAAACTTTGTATGGATCTGTGGTGGTTAGTTTGTGTTCTTGTGGTGATGATAAAATTTGTATGGGTTTGTAGTGGCGGTCCGTGTGGTGGTGGTCGTCGTCGATTTTGTTTCATTGTTGTGACTAATGAAGTTAACTGTGACCTTAATAAGATATTCGTGACCTCGGAATCGGAGCACTTATCTGAACTAAGCTAACTGTGACCTCGAATAAGATATCTGTGACCTTATAATTTTTTTGAAGAATAACTAATGAAGTTAACTGTGACCTTAATGAAATACCTGTGACCTCGAAATCGGAACAGTTATTTGAATTAAAGCTAATTGTGACATTAATAAGATATATGTGACCTCGAAATCTATGAACTACATATTTGAAAATACGTAACTGCGACTAATTAAAAATTTGTGACATATAGATTTTTTTTCATTTGTGACTTCAAAATAATCTGTGACTGAATAATTTGATAAGTTGTGACCAAAATTAAATTTTTAACTACTTAATAAGGTATCTGTGACCTTGGAATCGGAGCAACGATTACAGGAAAATAGTCGTCGGGATTAAGCGTGGCCGGAGAACAATCGCTGGAGTAGTCACCGGAGTAGTTGCCAGTGGCGGTGGGGTGGGGTGGGGTGGGGTGATCATATTATATTATAGTTAAATATTTAATTTAATAGATTAATTGTAAAATATAATTAATTAATTAATGAAAAACCCTGAGTTTTGTAATTTTAAATTTTGGGGCATGATTTTTGATTTCCTGAAAGTAAATCTTTGAACCATGAATTTTTCCCTGAATCGATTGTCCGAGTGGCCGTTCAATGGTCAATAATTTGAAAATATGGGCCAATGCAATTTAGATAGTTAGGTCTGACGATTAATCGTTGAGCCCACTTAAATTTCTTTTTTAAAAAATCCGCCAGGTGACAACCTTTATTAGTTGTGCTGTCCTAGGGGGCTAAAGAATGATGGACCGACAATAAGCAATTTTTTCAAACAAATTTGGTGGATTGGTCGACCCTGATTTCAACAAAAAACCATTCGGACAGACTCAAATCAACTCGAAAACCTTCATGGGCTGATCTGGGTTGTACTAGTTCTTTATATTGCACCGATCAAGGACGTAGTCGGAATTTCAATCTTGCGGGGCGAAAATACAGGGGGTGGACGAGGGCTTGGGCCCCCGATTTTTTTTTTTTTAAATTATGAGGATTGAAAACGACGATTTTGAGTACCAAAATATGCAAATTAGATTAACTGACCAAAAAGACAATCAGTTTGTCAATACAAAAATAATATGTTCATCTATGTGTTTAACGCTATACAAATTGAAAACATGAACGTTAAATAGATATCAAAAAGATAAAAAGTAAACTGTCTATCTATATAACAGATGGTAGAGATAGTTTGGATATCTGAAATTGGCCTCTCCTTGTCCTTACCACTTCAAACTTGTCAATAAGATAATTTAATGAAAAAATATCAACAATCTCCTTCTATATACACACAAGCATGGTACTAGACAAAAAATCATCTTCCATTCTATTACGCAAACTTGTCTTAATGACACTCATAACTGAATATGCACGTTCTGTAGTTGCTGTTGAAATTGGAAGAGTCAAGACAAGACGAATCAATCTATCAACAAGATTATAACCCATTAATTTTCTTATTAATGCCAACTGTTGACACATATCGGGAAGTGTTGTCAGATTTTTAAATTGAGAGTTACGCTGAACTTCAATTTGATATAGCTCCAATTGATCTTTCAAATGCAACTTCTCTTGGATTTTGGCTATTTATTTATTTAAATAACTATTGGATCTTTTGTTTAGGTTTAAGATTTTTATATGGTTGAATTTTAAAGTGTAAGTTATTAGGTCAATATTTATTAATGGAAAATAAAAAAATTCAAAATTTTGCGGGGACAAATTAATTTTTGCAGGAGCGAAACTGAAAATACATTACAAATTAACTAGGAATAGTGGACCAGCGGACAATGTTGGGAGGCGACCATCTCCGTCTCTGGCACCGACCCTCCCCTTTTGACACTACTAGATAACACTGTGAAAATGAATAACAAACTTGTAGAAAAAAAATTTATGGGTTCTTTTTAACTACACATTATTTAAAATAATCACTTTTCACAAAATTTACTCTAAAAAGGGAATGCAACTACTGTGAGATATTGAAGGATATTATCTACATCGTAATCATAATCGTAAATCGAACTACCTTAGTATACACAACCAGCTGAAGGGTACTACTTTTATATAGGCAGTATTAGATGCAATAAAACTACATTACTAACTCTTTCGCATAAACAAACATTGAAACCATGAAAAAGAAGAAAAGATAAACCCTAAAAGAGAAGTACTGTAGTGGCACATTTGTTGTCTGTGTACGCAACAAAATAACGTAGAGATGTCCCGTCGATCATTAATAAGACAATTTACATAAAGTTTCTATGTTTACACGAAAATCACCGTTCGTAAAGGATCATTTTTCGCTAGTCTTATTTTGTACAACATGCTACAACCATCTTTGCACAACATCACCCTTTACCACACACATGGATAAACTAAACTGGAGCAAGACAGGTTCGAGACCACTCATTCCATTGAAAACCTCTTCCTTCAGGAACACTTAAGAAACTATAGGGTATGATGCACAAGTTGCAACACCTGCAACCAAAGTTATTTGTATCAATTTACTGAGAAGATAAAATGATGCTGATAAATTTAATGTAAACTGTTTGCCCAAACATCTAATTATATACAATCAGGTGTCACGTTTAGAATGGTACCTAGGGAGTCTGCACCTCAACAAATGCAAATTTTATGCAGAAAAAAACTTACCGCACATGTTCTTCCCCATCTCCATTTTAAAGTAGCCATTGTCACCCCAGTCAGCTCCCCATGAGTTCTTAATGAGCCAGTACGGGACACCATTTTCAACTCCATAACCAACGGCAAGAACAGCATGGTTCACGTCCTGCAAATATAAGTTTACGATATGGTGATGAGTGTTTCTACTTCATATCCTGTCAAATTTCTCATCAAGTATATCATGTATAACTGTGTGTCTGCTGCAGGCTAAAGATTGATAAGATGTTTTACCTGAATACTAAAAGTATAACAAGAAGCTGATATGCGAAAATTATCAACAAGAGGATCAGGACCTGATATGAAACATGCATGTCTCTATTTGCACACGAAACTTCTTTTTTTTTCTCTCTCTATCTAGACAAAAGTTTTATTTTCTCAGTACTAGTCATTTTCCGTTGAAATCAAGAGTAATACATGCAAAAGAGAATCAAGCCTCATGAAAAGTGGGGTTGCCAAGGCAGTACAATATGGATGTTAGTAAACTAAGATTTTGCAACATAAATAGCCATCAAAAACTCCTATTTTGACAGTTTTCTAACCAATTTTGCAATCAAATTTCTAACGTTTCCTAAGAGAGTAAAGTACTCACCATTGGGCTTTTGCCACATTTGGTGCTGGTGTAAACTCCCTTTTTATACAATCGAAAACCATTTACCACCTCAAAAGCCACACTTACTGGCCGAACAGTTCCTACTGCATGCTTTAATTCATATTCAGCGCCCTGTGATTTACCAACATGTTAGAACACACAAAAATTATGAAGCCACCTTGTGTTAATAAGATCTGAAAGTACATAAATTAGATGCCAGCATGATTTTCTAGAGAATATTTTCATAGAAATGTGAAATTTCATTGCAAATGAGAATATAAACTGCTAAACTGTATTCAGTATTTCAAATTTAAAAAAAAGAGAGAGAAAAAAAGCAGTACGTCAGCAAGTTAATGTCGACAAACTTTGGAAGCCATGACGAACAACCTGATTCCATTTAGACGTAACTATGTAGCCATGCAGCCAAATGATATCTTCCTACTAATGTAGACAAGATGGTTGAGACTCCAAGAAAGTTTGAACAAGTAACTTACTAGGGTGATATTGACAGAGTCAAGAACTTCGATGGCATTATTTTCAGATGAGTATTTGCACACACCATCCTTTCCAGTGTATGGATATGAAGCCTCAGTTTCAAGTCCACCATTATATTTAATGTACTCAAAGGCTTGAGATGGAAGACCACCATTGCAGCCAAAGTTATTGAATGCACCAGCACAGTCCACAAGCTGCTGTTCAGACAGGGATATACCCTTTCCGAATGCCTGCGCATAAGCTGCCTCAAGGGCTCCAGTAGTGCTGAAAACTCACACATTTCAGGTGATATTTGTGGTTCTTCTCACATACGTATATAAACAACATTTACTAATATGAACTCCAATCTCTACAATCTGACAGATTCAATCTTACCTGAATGTCCAGCAGGATCCACAATGACCTTGATTTTTAACTGGGCTCACTATTCCAGATTTCCTCCAGTCTTTCTGCAATACACCACAGCAAAGTCTACTATTATTAGAAAGGAAATTACTCTTTTGACTTGCGATCATCCTCAACAGACCTTCAATAACTGGTGTTAGTAGTTATCTTGTGGCATCAAATTTCTCAAAAAAGACGAAAAGGAAGTCAATTTGTTGTTATCAAGCTGCGTGCCATAAGTCCAAATGTTCATAAAGCTTCATGTGAAGTTATACAATCAATCATGCCTGATCTAACAAAGATTGGTGCATCTCGTGGTCTTATATCCTATCTAAAATTAGCACAAGGCATAAAAGGAAACTTTTCTCAGTCATTCAAAATGACTCCAGTTGAGAAAATTGCTAACATATAGTTAAGTTACAATAAAAAATTTTAATTTATATACAGAGATTGCAAAGAGTGAACAACATAATTGTAACTGAAACTAGAGGTGAAAGATAAGAAAATTAAATAAACCATATCAATTATTTTTTGTTTCATGACAAAAAAAATTATCAACAGAATATCAAGTGCTTGTTTGATAAAACTTCACTAAAATTTTATCAATTTTCAACCGGTCAAACTTCAAATTTAATCATACATTTAAGAAGATTCACAACTTTTATTGAAATCTACTAAAACGTTTTATCAAAAGCTTGGTCAAACAACCTCTAAAATCACTAACAAATACAGAGAGACTACAAGTACCATTTCAGGAAGAAGAACATCAGTGAGCTTGTGATTGCCTCTTGTGGTAGCAGAGCAGTTTTGAGCAGCTCCTAACTTGTGCCTACGGAACTCGTCCCATGTCAAATCAGCAAACTCTGTTCATCAGTGTAACAGTTGTCAACAATGATGTTTAATGAAGATTTCAAGACTCCTTAGCGGTATCTTATTGTCTTCCATTAATTGAAAAACTAATTGCTCTTACTAAAGTGATAGGAAAAGCAAATTCGTGATCGTGGATTTAGTTCATAGAAGTATGGATGCACAAGTAATCAACTTAGGAGAAACATAATCGACTTAGTAGTAACATGTGAGCCAAAAGGAACACCTATATACACACTCAAGTAAGAAAAAATAAACTCATTTTCCAGATTGCCTGCAACAAATGAAGTTTAGGATATCTAGTTCCATCACAAACGGATTCATACTTCTATAATAACATGCAATACCGACTATCCGTTTGTAGTACAAGTTGGAATTATTAAATTCAAAAGTCATAGTGAAGTTACTCACTTCACAACTAAGTAAAGCAATTTAAAATACACTCAATCAAACACATACAGCTACACACTCGCCAACTTCCTATTTTTGTTAAATTAATTGTAGATTCAGCAACTTCTCAAATAATTGAGTAGGAAAGATATAATTATAGCCCACTCGTTAACGTTATACATAATACTGAAGCTAGACAGAAATTTACGTTTTAGTGTTCTAAAGACCAAAAAATCAAAAGTCAACTGGGAAATAGGCAACCTGAACTAGCTCAAGTGACTACTGATATATAACCATAAACACGTGTTCATAAACGAAGATGCATAAAAAGATTTATCTAAAGGAAAAAAGAAATCACCGTTGACACCAAGAGTATAAGAAAGTCCCTTCTTGTTGTGCGATCTGATCATCTTCAAATTCTCAGAAAATATTTCATACCTCCTCTTCATCTCTTCAGTACTCTCGTACCTCTTCCCAAACCTTTAACAAGAAATCCCAAAATTAAAATAATCCACAAAAAAAACGTGTTTAAAGGCATAATCCAATTGAATATATGTGCTTCTAGGAAAAAAATCTCGAGTTGAATTTTCACGGCCATCCATTTAACGAAATTATGCAAAATAGTCAACTGGGTCTATCCGATAACAGGATCTCTCGAGAATCCCATTTGTATGGAAAACAAAAATAAAATAAAAGCAGAACTAACTTACCGATGAACAAAGCGAGCAAAGGTGCGGGCACGGTAGCAGTCACCGGCGATTTGGATGATAGAATTCTCGATCTCGTGCAGGCCATCAACAACTTGCCTGATCGGATTCTCCTTGTCGAAGGTGGACGTTACAGGTGTCGCAGTCGCGACACAGGCAATAAAAAGCCCGACGATCAACAAAACAACCCGATCCATGTTCTTTCCACTCGTTTAAACTTTCACAGTGCGGTGTAAGGGGTCTGGAATGCTGGAGCATGCATTATATCATATCAAGTGTGGGGTCCAGAAGGGAATCTCCGCCGTCGGATGTATAAGTGGGGCCCAGTTGATGGGTCGTGGAGGGCCATGATTTGTCTAGTGTTTGTCGTGAAGAAAAAATCAAGGAATCTTTAGGCGAGAAAATGAAAGTAAGAGATGATGTAGGGGGTGACGTAAAATCAAGGAATCTTTAGGCGAGAAAATGAAAGTTAGAGATGATGTAGGGAGTGACGAGAATCTGAAACTGACTCTGGAGTCTATATGGCAACCGGGTCGGACGCGGGTCGCCTAGTGCAACACCTACGATCATGTCATAATGTTCATTTATTCTTGTTTGAATATATTATATTTATGAAATGCACTTATGTGATTAATAAATTGATAAAAGTGGTGGATTCAATCAAGGGTAATTATCACATAACGTCCTCACATTTCATTGTTATTGTGGAAAACGTTCACACATTTCATTTTTTGGCATTATTTCCACCTTTCATTGCGCAAAAGATCATTTTAATCCATTTCTCAATTAAAATTGTAAAATGACGAAAATACATTTTCTTTAAATTAAAAAAAAAAGAAAAAAACTAATTGCAAACATAGTACTAACTTTTTTGAAAAGCGTAAATGAGTCTCAAATAAATTATTAAAATGGTAATTAACACATAATATCCATACCTTTCACTATTATTGCGAAAAACATCCCTACATTTTATTTTATTTTTTTTTTGCATTTTCTTCCCTAATTATAATTTCATAAATATATTTTAAACCATTATTTCTATCAATTGTCCATCTCATAGTTTATTGATTTTCATCAACTTTGCACCCGCCAACAAAGCTAACATTGTGTCAAAACGCTCACTTCTTCAATTTCTTCTCTAATTTTTAATTATTATTTTTTTAATAAAACCTTCTTATAACATTCATAACGATAATTAGCAAGGTGAATCTCGTACTAATTAATTGAGTAGTATGTAGAAATGAACTTAGAGGGTGAGGCAACAAGCTAATGCTACGAACTCGCGTGCGGGCTCTCGAAAGAGAGAACTCTGAAATGAGTTATCAACTCAATGATCTCATTNATTCTACTCTGCTTTACCTAAACGTTCCTTCAATCTTGCGATCTAATGATAGAAGCTTGAGCTTGTCAAAATCTTGCATAAATTGCTTTTTGGTACCTGAAAAGAATACAAACACGAGAGAGATCAGTAACCGAAACAAAAAAACTATTTCTAATCTAGAGTGAATTAATAAATTCCTTTTAAATACTTTATTCCCCGTAATGGTGCTAAACACTTAATCGGCAAGCGTAGGGAATCATTGACAAGTTATAATGTGGGGGGTAAACGTATCTTCCCATGAGGAATAACCTTGAATTGAATTGTACTAGTCCATTTTCAAAACTCGAAAGTAACTAACACAAAAGAGATACGTTTTTATTGTTTCTAAATTAATCTACTAATTTTCTAAAGATGTTTTGTGTGGAGTGTGAAAATTATGTGTTGAAATTCCAAAATAACGTATTATTATCTTATTTCCAATTCTTGTCCTATGTAAATTAGCGTGATTTATGTATCTAGACAATAGATAAAGGAATTTTATCTAAATCTCTCTCCTAAGGTAAGTTAGACCTACTCTAAGCATGATCTAATCATATTCACTTTTCAAATACATATGCAAAGAAACGCATTAACGCACAATATTATTAGATGATTGTACACATCATACATATTACTCGTAACATCTATTGCCTGCATACTAATCTTGAAAAGTTCTAAACCTATTATGAACCTCCCGAAAATATAATAAACATATAATAAACAACTAATTACCTAATTGGTAATTAAAAATAAATAATTCAACAAAGCATACAAGATTAATAAAGATCACAAATTAACTAAACTATTTGATCTTTGAATTAGGTGTGGGCAAAAAAATCGAAAAACCGACCAAACCAAACCGACTCGGGTCGGTTTCACATAGTTATTGGTTTGGTTTTATTTTAAACAAAACTACGGTGGTTTGGTTTGGTCATGGTTTAAAGCTTTAAACCACTTGTTAACTGACCCAACCCACTTACACACGTTTCCATTTTATTTTTTTGAAAAAAGAAAAGTCAAAATCAAAAGCTTATTGATGTTCTCCAGAATGTGGAGGTGCTCATTCTCTTTCTTTGAGTAGTCTTGTTAAATACTATATAAACATTTTGTTTTATGATGACACTTTCAAGGAAACATTGATATTATTTTATATTCTTTATAAACATTGTTTTCTGTTTTGGTTGGTAGACTTTGTTTTTAGTTAATTTTTTTTTATATAGCAAGTTTTACTTGTAATAAGTTCGCCTTCTGAAAATCCATGTTGAGATAATGATTATGTATTTATGATTATGGATTAGTTACAATATTGAATCTTTTTAAGTACGTATTATGTTTTGATTCGTTAATTAAAGCTTAGATATTGTGAAAATTCAGGTTGCGATAATTATTTTCATTCTTTGAAAACTGAAATTTCAAATATGTTTTTAGTTGCTATATGTTGTAATTCAAATAAAAAAGTTGTATAAATAATAAAAAAAATAAATTATATGTACTATAAGTGAGCTAAAAGTCAAGAGTTTTTTTTTTTTTAAATTCAATTTGGACAAAAACTCAAACCGACTAACCAAACCAAACCAAACCGAATCGATTCAGTTTGGTTTGGTTTGGTTTGGTTTAAAAGCTAGATTGGGTCAGTTTGGGTTGAAATTTACTCAAACTGACTAATTTGATTTTGGTTTTGGGTTGGGGTCGAAACCGACCCAAACCATACCGCGCCCAGGCCTAATAGGAATGATAAAAAAATTCGTTAAACTCTATATTCATGAGTTTGAGGCAGGGATTCTCCGCCTAATCGAGTACACAGGACAAGGATGGGAATGAGATCATTTGCCCAAAAGGCTGGGACAGAGGCGAGTACAAAGAACATTGTCGCCACTCCATTACTCATCTCAATTAAAGTCCATTTCAAAATATAAGTTTTTTATCATACAAAAATAAAAAAATCATTAAAATTTCTAAAGAGAATATGAATTCTTCTATAAATTGCAAACAAGTAATGAATCACCAACTAAAGACGTGAAAAAATAAAATAAAAACTAAAAAAATATATGGGGTAGTAAATAGGGCAGTAGATCTGTCCCGCCTATCCCGTTCTGTCTTGACCCCTCTTCGATGCGCCTTAACCGAGTATAGAAGCGAGTTAAGGAAACAACAATATTTGACGAGACGAGAGATGTAAATGATTGTTTCGATCCATCTCGTTGCCATCCTTAAAACAATATAATATAAATCTTAATTACATCCTCTCAGAGCCTTCTCAAACTCTCATTGTAGTCTAATTTCATCAATTAATAACGTCAAGTCAAGATACGATGAATGTAAGCCCTTGTTTGGGCCAATTTTTTTTTGGATTTGTAGCAAAAATCTGAACATTGGAAGAGTGGTTGGCTGACGGCACGCTTCCTCCTTACTTTACAGACTGTGACATTGCAAAAATCAATTCCCACCTTTCCCGTTACTCAAATGTGGCCGACACTTTCCCTTTATTCAACTCTCGCTCAGCTCTCCTCAATCCTTGTAGCCTACAGTATAATCTCTGTCCTGTAGAGCCCTCAACCATCAGCGACTTCCTCCATCCTAAACCATACTTTGTCGGGAGCAGATCTTCAATGGCAACCACTTTGCTGCAGATTTCGGTTACTGAAACACTCATGGCAGTGATGAAGCCCCATTTCGTGATGAAAATTACGATCGGTGCTCGACCGGCGTGCCTTCTTAAAGTTGTCCAGTCTGATGCGTTCTCACTGCCACCGCCTCTTCAACCCCTTCTTCCAACCTATTGACCTATTCTCCAATCAGGTCAAAACTACAAACCTTTGCTGTCGTTTCTGTTTCATTGCATTCGTTTTTTTACAACTCCATTTTGTAATCCCACAGATGGATAACGTTCGTGGTCCTGGTTCGTCAATCACTGTCGGTGACTACCTCAGCGTTGAAGACTCCAAAAAATATGCGAGATGGAGAGATGCAGAGAGGAGAACGTTTATAGCTGTCTGTGAAACTGTCGAAGGTCATCGACATGACAAATGTTTCACGAAACATGACTGAGAGCGTGTTATTACGTTGTTTAACTCCATCTCCGACCACAATTGGAGCAAACGTTGATTTAATATGGTAGCCGCTATAGATGCTTAACTTTATAATGCTCATACCGAATGATAGTCTCATTTTCATGCTGTTGTGATCTGTTTTAATTGCCCTAGACATGCAGAAGTAAGAAATGGGCATAAGTATAGTATTACAATTTGATAATCATTTCATAGATTGAATGTGACAGTTGCTTGTGGCTTGTACTGGGGTATGCAGTAAGGTTCATATGCTTATAACCTTGAAATGTTGTAAACTTTTTACCTTGTAAGGAACGTCTCCTTATTATTCTGTCTTGAAGCTTTTACGTTCAATTTTTATCAAGCTGATGTCCATATTTAGCTTCAGTCTTTCTCATACGCTCACCGAAGGATGTAACTATGTTGAAACTACAATGTTATGAATCGAATGCCATAGTACTGTAGTCATTTTATTGTTTACAATCGTATGCCACAACTATTTTTCGTTATTCTCTGTTTTGTGCTATGTCGGTGAGGATATAACGTTTTTCGCTTCCCACTCACTTGAATTTGAACAATTGTGTAAACGTTATTGCAGGAGAAAAAGGACTACACGAATTTTAAAGACAAAGATGTGAGTGAGATCTACATACGATATTGTCAACTTTTCGACGATATCTATGACGGTGACAAATACACAGCGACCCCAGCAAAGTTATGTCGTACGAGCTTCGATTTGTTTGTGGACAATGCAGTTGAAGACCAAATGGATGCAATCCCGATCGATGGG